TCAAGTTGCTGCGATCCCCAGCCGGTCGCACAGAGGTGATGCGTAAAGTAAAGGCCGACCGAAATTCGGTTTCGGTGCCGAAAGTTGGCAAATGGCCGCTTTCGACATACGTTCGGTTTCGGCCGAAAGTACATTTTTTACTTTCGGTTTACTTTCGATTTCGGCCGAAACTGATATTGACTTTCGGTCAACCGAAGATCTATTTTTAGAATATAACGCTAGTGCTACGTTTATCTCTCTGCCTATCGGCCGGTCAGTCGGCGCTAGGCAATCCTGCGATAGGCTGCAAAAACACATCAGCAGCAGCTTGGGAGCGAGGTTACAGCCGCAACGATGGTCTGTTAATGTCAACAGACGGCAGCCTGCTTTTGCATCCGTGGGTGGAGTCTCTTTGGCGGGACGACAACAAAGTGCCGTTGTTGTCTGTTCCCAGCCGCCTGCCCGCCTTGGCTTATGTGTTGCGTTCTCTTCAGTCTACACGCGTGTTGATACCGAGATTCGAAGTCTGACAATATTCTTCTTGGTTCTTTCGGTAAAGTCACTTAGAAGGGAAGTAATAAAATAATAAAAATAAAACATAATAAAAAAATGAAGAATTCTTCACCTGAGGACAGCTGCTTGCATTGTGGCCGAAACGTCGTGAGAATTATTTTATTATGTTTTATTTTTATTATTTTATTATTTCCCTTCTATGTGACTTTACCAAAAGAACCAAGAAGATGAATCCCTGCAGTCACGAAAGCTTTCAATCGAAATCTGACAATATTGTTATTCAGTTAGTTAATAGTTACGTAGCGAATTAGTGATAACAAAATTACGAATCTGAGTGAAGTAGAAAATTAAACTTAATAAACGGAGCAGTTAATCACTAAAGTCGATTCTGATGCAAGAAACAGCAACCTGCTGGGCGAGAATGCGGAAAAACTGGTATTTCTTAACTACAACATTCGTTTGTTTAGATATAATTACTAAGTAACACCTAAAGATTTGATATTTAACGACTCTTACTGCAGGCTCTGAATGATTAGTTCTAGATACATTTTTTATTAAAGTAGCATTGCATCATGACCTATATATAAAAAATGAAAATTTGTGAATGTGTCCGTTCAAAATGTTTAGCGTACTTCCCGACATGCAACAAACTTTAAATTTGCCATGTGGGTACTTTCCATACTGTACACCATGCATACACTTTGGTATTATTTTTTTGGGGGGGGGTGCAAGGGGGGTGCAATAATGCATATATTTTGCACGGTAAGCGAGCTGTGACGTCACATCTGTCATGTCACCCGCGCATGTGTAGCGCTTAGCGCTACGAACATGGCGTGGTGCTGGCCACCCACCCCCTCGTGTGCCATGCCGGCCTTCATAGGTACTCGCTAACAGCACTTGCCCCCTACAGTCTCACAGGCTACATGGTGGATTTTTGTCCTTATCCTGTGTGTATGTAGGGGGGGGCAGCGACTGCGTAGCGATTCGCGCGCTGCGCTACGAACCCGACGACCCAAGTTCAATTCCCACTCATGGCCACCTGACGGTGACGATTATTTGAACTGGTCCTGGGCCTCCCCTAGGTCGACTCAGCCTCAAACGAGTAAGTGGTGTGTCAACATCGCCACTGGGGAGACAAAGGCAGCCGGCCAGTGGTGAATCCAAGTCCCGGGCGAAGCCGGGTAGTAAAGCTAGTATTTCATAAATCTTGTGTTCGGTAACTTTGGTTATAAACCTTTCTGTTTTGGTCTCGGTCGAAAGTGTAGTTAAACTTTCGGTTTTGGCCGAAAGTGAAGTTCAACTTTCGGTTTCGGCTTCGGTTTCGGCCAAAAGCCAATATTTAACTTTCGGTCTGGTTTCGGTTTCGGCCGAAACCAGAAATTCAGTTTCGGTCATCCTCTAGCGTCAATGCTTCAGCCTACAACACGCCATGGCAACGTAACTGGTACTGGGCAACTATCTGAACGCTGGAATAAAAAAAACCCATCTTTCTTGCAACAAAAAACGGCAGGATGGATATGCATGGTGTGCATGCATAATGTGAATGTATGTCTGTTGATTATCCTATGAATAACCCAACCGATATTGGATATCCATTGTAATTTATATGCATTTATAACCTCCCCCCCCCGGCCTTCTGCCTAATTGCCCCACAAGTGAGACATCACGTTTATCTCTTGAGAAATCCTCCTGCTTCGCTCTTAACAACCCTGGCTATCGCCTGTTGATGTGAGTTGGAATTACTGACAAAACGTCGTACTCGAATTGTAAATTTTATTTTATACCTACGTGACTTTACCAAAAGAACCAAAGAGTATTGAATTGTAAATGTTGGGGGTTTACTGTCGAACACACCAGTGTGCTGAACTAGTAACGAATTAGCACGTTTTGATTACGTGACAAACCTTACTACAGTAATTGGCTGTGTTGGCGGTGGCGGGTTTAACGACACATTCATATTTACGTCGTCTAACCCAAAAACCTCGATTATGGATAATGGTTGTGAAAGCCTGAGGCCTTCCTGGGATAAACAAACTTATTAATATGTATGTTGAACTTCTTTCGCACCGTGCATAGCCAACTGTGCTAATCGGAGGTGTGGAAATAGAAAAAGCCTTGGTTGGAACGCAGCTAAAAGGCCTGGTGACAGAAGTGACCTGTCTGCTATTTTACATCTCTAGGTTTCAATCAACTCATTGCCCAGCATAAATTTTAACGTGAACTCGACTACGGGAACAGACCTGAATCTGACCGTCAGAACGGAGGCTTTGGATTCGGGCCGTGGCCCAGGTGCAGTGGTTTGTGCTGTACAGAGCCCTCGACAAGATAGGTGCCAGACACCAGCGCCGCGGCCGCCCTGCGCGGAGCGGCCGCTCAGGGTAGAGCGGCCGAGGCTTCCCACCAAATCGCTCCTCCAGCATTTCCTCCAGCCTGCACGCCCCGCACACACAGGCCGCAACGCGATGTCCACACACAATAAAAAAGCCACACTCCAAGTGCTATGAGGCTCCATCCACACGGTGGCGCTGCTACACAAAGCAATGAAGCACGGCTGTTACGAAGACTTAGGGAGTTTAGTCATTTGTGGAATTGTTTTTTTAACTTGTCATGGGACCTTGTTGTCAGCATCGAAGTATAAAGAATAACAAAAAGTTTTACCCTTTCTGGCAATAAAACATGTCTTAAGATGTTCAAACACCAAATAGATCACGTTACATTTTTCATGAATGGAAAACTTGTTTCTCTAGTCCATACCACGAGCCACTGGTCCAACATTCCTCGTAACATTCAGCAATTCCCTTTCGGCCACGCAACATGCTGCAGGTCAACGTTTTGGAGGGCGTTGGCTCTGCATAGGCTATTGAGGCCCAGAGTCCTGGGCTGGGCAACAGTCGAGACCGCCGCGGGTCATTGACACGGAGCGGCCCCAACGAGTCACAACGCCGCTAGAGTGAGTGAAAGCTCGCCGCGCCATCTGAACGAGCCACGTTCCACATGGTCAGGGCTGTCAACGTTCTTGCCCAACTCACGGCGGCTCGTTTTGACGCTGCTGAGCACGCTTCCACGCATGCTCGGAATGGAGGCGGGCCGTTAACGCTCCGTGTAGAGCAAACTCTAGCGCTTCCGTGTAACTCGGCTGTCTGCGCCGCGATCTACAATGTTAGCTGGAGTGCAGACTTACTGAGGATCTGATAAAGCAATCTTGAGCAATGCCACTATGTATTGGGCCTGCCTGCATTGCACCTGTGCACGTTGCGCCCACGCGAGTGGTGCCTGTATGCTTGTGGGTAGGGGATGGGTGAGGTTTGTGGGTAGGGAGTAGGGAAGGGTGAGGATTGTGATAAGGGAGTGGTGAGGGACGAGGCTTGTGGGTAGGGAAGGGTGAGGCTTGTGGGTAGGGGGTGGACACTGGAACTGTGGGTACTCTGTGCCCGCCCTATATAACTTTATCTGCAGCGTGTTCCGCAGGCCGCGAAGGGAATTTCTGAACCTTGTGAATGTTGGACGGTGGCTGGCAGTATAGTGTCATGGTGGCGTGGTATACAGGAGGGCGTGGGTTCCATCCCGACCCTGACGCCTGCTGTAAATTTGGAGTTTGCATGTTCCCTCCGCAGTCGCGTGGATTTTTCTCTGGGTCCTCTAGTTTTCCCCTCTACATTTAGATTCAAGATGCCTTAATAGTATTTGGCTAATTAAAATTTGCACATAAGCCCCTTCGTTGAACTATTATTTGTAGTGAAATGAGAGCGTAAATGGGGTTTGCTGCTGGGCTCTGGCCCAATCACACGGCCCGGGTTATTGGGGGGCGGAGCCCGGTATGGGGGGCGTGTGGGAGGGGCCGCCGTTCACCTCGGCTCCAATTGGAAGCGAGGTGAATGGGGGTGGAGCCAGCAGGGCAGTATGGGAAGGCCGTATCTGACGATCCGGAAGGGGAGGAGTCAGGGTCACGTGGGGGAGAGGATATAAGTGGGAGCCCGGAAGAAATCGGGGTCAGTTGCGGAGTAAAGAGGCTGAGCCACGTTGGGTGGTGAGAGGAGATCCGCGCCATCGGCCACGTGGCCGAAGGACCTTCAGCACGCCGTCGGCCAGCGGAGTGCGGGAGTGGAGGAGCTAACGGAGGAGCGTGCGTGGGCGCGCGCGAGGAGACGCTGGTCCCCTGTCAGGACTAGCGGGGTGTGAGAAAGAGTGGAGGAGCCGATGAGGTCGCGCGTGCGGGGCGCGCGCTAGACGACGCTGGTCCGCGGACAGGACCAGCGGGGTGCGGAGAAAGAAACTAAATAAAAGGCCAAAGGAGACCAACAGTGACCAACGGAGTATTTTATTACAGTAGCCAGGTCACTTCTGAAAAATAGCTATATAGTTCAGTAGGCACTTAAAATAAAAAAGTTTAGTTTATAGCAGTTAGTATAAAAAAAAGAGAAATGCAATAAACATGTCACCACGCATTATCGCGCACACGGAGATGAGCCGAGCGGCCGCAGAGGCGAGGGGGAGAGCGGTGATGCTCACGTGGGTAGGAAATTTCCAAGCGCTTCGTCGGGCTGCAGGTAGGAGGCCGGGGACCTGACGAAGGAGACGAAGGTGTGAATAGGCGTCATCGCAAAACACCAATACCCCCTCTAGCCATGTGGCTGGACACAACACAGATACCCCCCTTGCCACGGGGCTGGACACAACACAGATACCCCCCTAGCCACAGGGCTGGACACAACACAGATACCCCCCCTAGCCATGTGGCTGGACACAACACAGATACCCCCCTTGCCATGTGGCTGGACACAACACAGATACCCCCCTTGCCACGGGGCTGGACACAACACAGATACCCCCCCTTGCCACGGGGCTGGACACAACACAGATACCCCCCCCCCCTTGCCATGGGGCAGGACACAACACAGATAACCCCTTGATACTGGGCTGAGTGCATAAGCAACTGAAGTAGAATTGTGTTAAATAAAGTACATACAGTAAAAAACTCATGAAATAAACTTAAATGAAGAAAACTAGCAATAGAAACATGGGGAAAAACAAGCTCTCAGCATATAAAACAAGCAATGACATAATGCTACGAAATGAAAGAATTACATAACACGACAATAAATGCCTTAACCCTCGTGGAGCTCAAGCGAGGCGTAAGGTTGCCCCTCGCCTTACGTCTCGCTCCACGGTATTCATCCGCAAACCTCACTGTGCTGCAATATTTGCGCTTACGTAATTAACGCAAGAATGTCTGCATATCGATGTTTTATTGTTACGTGATTTATGGAAGCATTCCCATTAGGTTAGATTTCCTCAAGTCAGATCTTTCGCAACCTGGGGACTGTCTGTACATGAAGGAAGATTCGCATTGCCGTTTACGACAGATGCTGGTTAGTGAAGAGCATTCCAGATTGTAGAATGCCGTATAACAATATATTTTCCTGTATTTTAATACATCTTTACTTTCCAACGATGTGCTGTACTAGTCATGAATTGGCATGTTTTGGTTACGTGACAAACCTTACTAATTGACCGTATTGGGTGGTGCCGGGATTAACGACATTTATTATATTTACGCAATCTAACCCAAAAACCTCGATTATGGACATTGGTCGCGAAAGCCTGCTACATATTCAACTGACAGCTTGGTAGTGTACCATTAAAATGTCAAGCAGCAACATTTTCAAAAAGAGAAAGCGTACAAAAAAGATGGCATCACCGTTTGTCCCTCTCCGATTGCTTGCCAAATACAAGGAAACTATTGCAAACGTGGCAGAGTGAGTAAAACTCGTAACTGCAAATCACAGACAGAAGCAAGCGACATCTTGTGTCGTTGACTCGGATTCATCCATTCTGGTCCCTTGCAAAATGTTTTTGACAATGCCTGAAAAACTTCGCTTTCACTGTTAACAAATAAATCTTTGGCTCATATTTGCAGGTTGTTTTATCCACTGCAGTAGCACCCAGTTACACCACTGGGGACTTCACACGAGACCAGCCGAGAGGCGTTTTGATAACACGTTCACATACAAAAGACAAAGATCCCCCGTGTAGCCTTAACAGACTGTTGGGGCAAGTGCCGATAGTGAGTAGCATCCATGAAGGCCGGCACGGCGCGAGAGGGTGTTTGGCCAACATCAAGCCCGGCCGCCTTTGTCTCCCCAGTGGCGTTGTTTACACACTGTACCAGGTACTCATTTGACGCCGAGTCAACTTTAGGGGAGGTCCAGGACTGGTTCATATAATCGTCACCAGTGTTGGCGGCCATGAGCGGGAATCGAACTCGTGTCGCCGGGTTCGTAGCGCAGCGTAGCGCTAACCGCTGCACTGTTGTGCACATGCAGGCAGATACAAACACCCTGACATACACACTCGTACGCGCGTGTGTACACAACGTGGCCATACGACTGTCGTAGCTGTACCTTGCAGGTCGGGCACACAAACTCGCAGCCCGCGCGTGCGCGTGCCTTTGTCCTGCAGGCATGCTCCACACGAGACGCGTGTCCGCACACCGGCAGCAGGTAGGGGCGGCTGCGTGACGCGTCCCAGGCTCCACTGGGAAACAGACATTTCTTAAAATCCCAACCAAGGCATGGGATCAGAACAAGTGCTAAGGCAGCACCTGACGCGCAAAGACAGCGTCGACTTTTCCCATTTGAAAGCGGCCACTCCTCGTCATCATCACAGATTAAGGGGTCTGTAATTATGACGATAGACCTGATTTTCATTCAATCAGGTCTATAATTGAATGACAATCGTAGACCTGATTTTCATTCATTTAGGATTTTCTTTGGACGTCAGCTAATAAAGTAGATTATCGATTATTCGTGCTGACAGGGAGGACAGCCGCGGATAATTCAAAATCGCGGACATTAGATTACTTTTTTAAACTATGAACTTCATACATTAACAGTACATCTAGCAACTAATTTACCTGGTGGTATTGAAACAATTCTTACATGCTTGTGTTGAACCAATGCCGCTTGAAATGATACAACAGCAGGCGTTGACGATGAAAAGCGTAAAAAACTATTCTGAGTTTATTGTCCCTTATTTTATGGCCTGCTCAGATCTTCTTTTGGGGACTCAATTCGCTACTTTTAGCTCTGAACATCAAGCGTAGCGAGTGAGCCTCTATGAAGGCCAGCAGCGTGCTGTTAGTGGTCGTGTAAGCAGAATCACAGCCGTCTTTGTCTCCCGAATCTACACTCGCAATGAACCGAGTACTCATTTAAGGCCGAACTGACCGAAGGGAGGCTCCCAAGAATGGTTTATATTTCGAGTAGCCGCTGTTTCTCCCCGTCAGAAATTAAATTACCTTCACGCATCTTCATGTGGCGTCTCCTTGAGACGACTGTAACTGCACGAGCTAAAGGCGTGTCTTTCTGTAAGCGCCACACTGCCTTACGCGAGACTTCAGTTTTACATTTTCCATCATCTACTCCTTTAACGGATGTAGAAATTTAAACTAACTTCTTTCGCACCGTACGTAGCCAATGGTGCTAATCTGATGTGCGGAGCAAGAACAAACACTAAGACACAAAACGCACGCGCATGTAGACCATGCTATAAACAATTACCTTTGATTTCCTGTGCGGGCAAGGACGATACAGTCCACTAAAACTACGAGCACGCGGCACACCACCAGCGGCCACGTCTCCTGCCGCGTGTGCAGGCGGTGCAACTGCACGGGCCCACACGGGCGGGGAGTTGCTGCAGTGCCATGCCACGTGGAGCAGAGGGGGGCATTGGCAGGCTTCATTCTTGTGTTTCTTGCACCAGAACCAGACTCTCACACAGAGACCCAGATACTCTCACACAGAGACCCTCACACAGAGACCCTCACACAGAGACCCAGAGATTCTCACACAGAGACCCTCACACAGAGACCCAGAGACTCTCACACAGAGATTCTCACACAGAGACCCAGAGACTTACACAGAGACCCAGAGACTTACATAGAGACCCAGAGACTCTCAACAGAGATTCTCACACAGAGACCCAGAGACTCTGACACAGAGACCCTCACACAGAGACCCAGAGACTCTGACACAGAGACCCTCACACAGAGACCCAGAGACTCTTACACAGAGACCCAGAGACTCTCACACAGAGACCCAGAGACTCTCACACAGAGACCCAGAGACTCTCACACAGAGACCCTCACACAGAGACCCAGAGACTCTCACACAGAGACCCTCACACAGAGACTCTCACACAGAGACCCAGAGACTCTCACACAGAGACACAGAGACTCGCATACAGAGACCCTCACACAGAGACCCAGAGACTCTCACACAGAGACCCAGAGACCCTCACACAGAGACCCAGAGACCCTCACACAGAGACCCAGAGACTCTCACCCAGAGACTCAGAGACTCTCACCCAGAGACTCAGAGACTCTCACTTAGAGACTCTCACACAGAGACCCAGATACCCTCACACAGAGACCCAGAGACTCTCACCCAGAGACTCAGAGACTCTCACCCAGAGACTCTCACACAGAGACCCAGAGACTCTCACCCAGAGACTCAGAGACTCTCACCCAGAGACTCAGAGACTCTCACCCAGAGACACTCACACAGAGACCCAGAGACTCTCACCCAGAGACTCTCACACAGAGACCCAGAGACTCTCACCCAGAGACTCTCACACAGAGACCCAGAGACTCTCACACAGAGACCCAGAGATTCTCACCCAGAGACTCAGAGACTCTCACCCAGAGACTCAGAGACTCTCACCCAGAGACACTCACACAGAGACCCAGAGACTCTCACCCAGAGACTCAGAGACTCTCACCCAGAGACTCAGAGACTCTCACCCAGAGACACTCACACAGAGACTCAGAGACTCTCACACAGACTCTCACACAGAGACACACACACAGAGACTCTCACACAGAGAGACTCACACAGAGACTCTCACCCAGAGACTCTCACACAGAGACCCAGAGACACTCACACAGAGACTCAGAGACTATCACACAGACTCTCACGCAGAGACACAGAGACACACACACAGAGACTCTCACACAGAGAGACTCACACAGAGACCCAGACCCTCACACAGAGACTCACACAAAGGCCCAAAGACTCACGCGGCAGCGACTCTGTGAGCAGTGATGGCGGCGCGAGACCGCGCGCGCTGGGTGACACCACGTGCTGCTGACACCACGTGCCGAGTGCGCGCGCCGAGTCACGTGGGGGCGGGCGGCCATCTTACCTGGGGACAGTGCTGCACTGTAACAGCGGGGAGCGGCGGTGCAGCGGTTAGCGCGGCGCTTTGTGTAAACATCGTCACTAGGGAGACAAAGGCGGCCGGGCGTGGTCCTGGCTACCCACTCCCTCGTGTGCCGTGCATAGGTGCTCGCTAACAGCACTTGCCCCAACAGTCTGTTCAGGATATACGGGGGATCTTTGTGAATGTGTGAGTCTGTGTGAGTGTGTGAGTCTGTGTGAGTGAGTGAGTCTGTGTGAGTGTGTGAGTCTGTGTGAGTGAGTGAGTCTGTGTGAGTGTGTGAGTCTGTGTGAGTGAGTGAGTCTGTGTGAGTGAGTGAGTCTGTGTGAGTGAGTCTGTGTGGGTGTGTGAGTCTGTGTGAGTGAGTGAGTCTGTGTGAGTGAGTGAGTCTGTGTGAGTGTGTGAGTCTGTGTGAGTGAGTGAGTCTGTGTGAGTGAGTGAGTCTGTGTGAGTGTGTGAGTCTGTGTGAGTGAGTGAGTCTGTGTGAGTGTGTGAGTCTGTGTGAGTGAGTGAGTCTGTGTGAGTGAGTGAGTCTGTGTGAGTGTGTGAGTCTGTGTGAGTGAGTCTGTGTGAGTGTGTGAGTCTGTGTGAGTGTGTGAGTCTGTGTGAGTCTGTATGTGAGTGTGTGTGAGTCTGTGTGAGTGAGTCTGTGTGAGTGTGTGAGTCTGTGTGAGTGAGTGAGTCTGTGTGAGTGTGTGAGTCTGTGTGAGTGTGTGAGTCTGTGTGAGTGAGTGAGTCTGTGTGAGTGTGTGAGTCTGTGTGAGTGAGTGAGTCTGTGTGAGTGAGTGAGTCTGTGTGAGTGAGTCTGTGTGAGTGAGTGAGTCTGTGTGAGTGTGTGAGTCTGTGTGAGTGAGTGAGTCTGTGTGAGTGAGTGAGTCTGTGTGAGTGTGTGAGTCTGTGTGAGTGAGTGAGTCTGTGTGAGTGAGTGAGTCTGTGTGAGTGTGTGAGTCTGTGTGAGTGAGTCTGTGTGAGTGTGTGAGTCTGTGTGAGTGTGTGAGTCTGTGTGAGTGTGTGAGTCTGTGTGAGTGAGTCTGTGTGAGTCTGTGTGAGTGTGTGAGTCTGTGTGTGAGTGTGTGTGAGTCTGTGTGAGTGAGTCTGTGTGAGTGTGAGTCTGTGTGTATGTGCACGTGTGGATCACCACACAAATGTTGTGAAACTCCCCGTGGTCGCTAAGGTCGCCATCTCCTGGCCTATCCAGGGTCTGGAAGCGCAGCAAGCGGAGACATTTCCATCTCGAGGGGATTTAATGTTTCCCCCTCGCACGCGTTGGTTCTCTCCCCTCACATGCATACTCGCTCTTGAATGGAACTGGGCAAACATATGCCATGCAATGGGGCCCATTGCCTCAAACATCGCCCATGATATATTTTCCTCTTAAGGCAGCCGTGGTATTAACGAATGTGTTCAGTGAGTTTTATTTGTGCACCACTGCCAACGCGGTATCGACAAATTATCCCAATGTAGGACCACAGAGCTTGGGGATATTGTTGATCACGCCGGTTTCTGGCTGGCTGCAACACCAATGCACAACATACAGCACTAACATACAACATATTCTTAGGTTTTTCGGTAAAGTCACGTAGGTAAAACATCAAAATTAATAAAAATAAAATAAAATAAAGATCACGACGTTTCGGAGGCAACACAAGTCTCCGTCATCAGGTGGGACCGTCACAGCCAGATTAGCTGCATCAAGTGAGGCAATGATTCAAGATGTAATCCTTTAAAAGCGAGTTGAGGGGGGAGGAGAGGGGGGGAGCTCATCAGAATGTGGTAGCCAATGAATGGAACGTATCGGGAGGGAGGGGGGGCGGGGCCAAAAGGGTGGGCGACGGCGTGGAAGCGATTGTGCGCATGAGACCAACTGCTGCACACGCCAACGCATTGGACAGAGAGGGGGGAGGGGGAGGCCTGATACACATGATACAAAAGAACGGAAATGCCCATGTTTATACCAATGCTGGCTGAACAATGAAGAGATTATTGTTAAACACTCGGTAAAGTAAAGTAAAATAGTGCCTGTCAGATTAGATGGTCCAAAAAAGTGTAATTAAGTCTTTTTTGTGTGGTTAATAACATCTTTCCAATGATTACTAAGTTTGTACCTATCATCACGGTTGAAATTATGTCTGTATTTGTACACGAAGCCATACAAATATACAAACACAGACATAATTTCAACCGTGATGATAGGTACAAACTTAGTAATCATTGGAAAGATGTTATTAACCACACAAAAAAGACTTAATTACACTTTTTTGGACCATCTTATCTGACAGGCACTATTTTACTTTACTTTACCGAGTGTTTAACAGTAATCTCTTCATTGTTCAGCCAGCATTGGTATAAACATGGGCATTTCCGTTCTTTTGTATCATGTGTATCAGGCCTCCCCCTCCCCCCTCTCTGTCCAATGCGTTGGCGTGTGCAGCAGTTGGTCTCATGCGCACAATCGCTTCCACGCCGTCGCCCACCCTTTTGGCCCCGCCCCCTCCCTCCCGATACGTTCCATTCATTGGCTACCACATTCTGATGAGCTCCCCCCCCTCTCCTCCCCCCTCAACTCGCTTTTAAGGGATTACATCTTGAATCATTGCCTCACTTGATGCAGCTAATCTGGCTGTGACGGTCCCACCTGATGACGGAGACTTGTGTTGCCTCCGAAACGTCGTGATCTTTATTTTATTTTATTTTTATTAATTTTGATGTTTTACCTACGTGACTTTACCGAAAAAACCTAAGAATATGAATCATTGCAGTCACGAAAGCTTCAAATCTAGAAATAAACATACAACATGTATGTTGAACTTCTATCGCACCGTACGTAGCCAACCGCGATAATCGGAGGTGCTGGCTGCTGGTGAAGGACAACAAACTAAGCACAAAAAGCAGTTCTAAAGAAATGGGTTGTCAAAGACATTTAAAAGTGCAGAGCTCCAATGGCTTCCAAATATCGGAAGGAAGAGCGATGGCCGCAGAAGCGCATCTGAAAGCGGCACGCGATGAGGTGCCCGCACCCCTCCTGACCCCCCCGGGATGCACCCCAGAGCCCCCCTGTAACCCCCCTCGGACCCCCTCGGCGAAGACAGCGCAGAGTGCAGCAGCTGCCTCGCCCGCACTGTGGCACTGCAGTTGTACCACGTGGCCACACGGCGGCGGTGGAGATTACTGATCGGGCGTCCGTGTTGGTTAGGTTATTTAGAGGACGTCCATGTTGGTTAGGTTATTTAGAGGACGTCCATGTTGGTTAGGTTATTGAGAGGACGTCCATGTTGGTTAGGTTATTGAGAGGACGTCCATGTTGGTTAGGTTATTTAGAGGACGTCCATGTTGGTTAGGTTATTTAGAGGACGTCCTTGAATTACGTCACGCACCTAGGGGGGGGGGGGGGGAGAGTCAGACATTTGTGACGATGTGTGACGAGGGGGGGGGGGGGGTTTGAGAAATGTGACGTCACATCAAAATGCGTAACTTTAAATAAATATAGTCAACACGTTCTACTTAATTAAATATACTTTTAATAA